GCTTTCATTCCACACCTTAGGTTATTTTCTCTACATCATAGGGAGAGATGAGTACATTGCTTTTCAATGTAGTGAGGAATGGTGGGTGGGGGGGCCGGGGTGGGGGGTAACATGAAGCAGTAGAATAGAGTGGCTGAGAGTGCCAATGCTGGAATCAGACTTCCTTAATGAAAATGTCAGTTTCATCAGCTTGTCCTTGGGGTGGTTTACTGAATTTGTCTATTTCAGCATTCTTGCCTATACAGTGGAACTCACTACAGATATCCTCACAGGGACATTATAAACAGCCAATGAACAACTACGCGTAAGCACTCAATGCAGTGTCCGGTACATTGTATAGAGTCAACAAACGTTTGCAGTGAGAGGCATGAAGACAGTTATTCTTTCTATTTTCCCTCTAGCATAATCTAGAATCTAGTACTATTTAGGTTTTAAGTCAGCACCTTTATTCAATAACTCTCCTTTGAAGGGCAACATGACAACCATATCGCACCTCTACTGTGTCCCTGAAAAAGTATTATCTCAGTGATTTGGAGAAAGGCCAGCATAACTAAATGACATTTGTTGAGAGAAATTTGTGTAGGAAGCAAAGATATGTTTACCAAACAGGGAGTGAAACATATTTCAGGGCTTCTCATCTACAGGTGCCCATTATCTATAGAGAGACCAACACTGGAGTCACATGGTCGTGTTTTTATAAGATTGGCAAAGACATTTTAACCTCAATTAGTCAAGACCATTGTTTCTTTCCTTCTCCAATCACTCTTTGCCTTTCTTCTCCCATGGGTTAGGAGTGACGTACCCTGTGGACATTTTGGGGTCTAGCTGACTGGAGAGTCTGCTGGGACTTTGTGGATTTAGCAGAATATATTTACATGGTTCAGTAGCTTTGTGTATCATAGTTATTGCTAGGTGTCGCAATGTAGGGACTTCCAAAGATTTACCTATCTTCCACTGACCACAGCACCACACTGATGAGTGTAGTATCATGTACAAATATGTGATTTGTACATTTGTGATTTGGCCCCCAGCACCAGAATTATCTGATAGAAGAAAGAAAAAAATATATTTAAAATTTAAAGCTTGTCAATAGAATTTTTTTCCAACCCACACACATGAAACTTAAAAAGAAAAAGATTTGGTTCTCATTGAAGCCTAATCAAATTAAAATTTTTATTCCATCAAGAGTATATTTGGCAATTCAAGAACAATAAATTAAAAAAATCAAACTTTCTTTTAAAGAGCCTGATGTTGGGGCGCCTGGGTGGCTCAGTCGGTTAAGCGGCCGACTTTGGCTCAGGTCATGATCTCGTGGTCCGTGAGTTCGAGCCCCAAGTCGGGCTCTGTGCTGACAGCTCAGAACCTGGAGCCTGTTTCAGACTCTGTGTCTCCCTCTCTCTGACCCTCCCCCGTTCATGCTCTGTCTCTATCTGTCTCAAAAATAAATAAACGTTAAAAAAAATAAATAAATAAAGAGCCTGAAGTTAACTTTCTATTCACTCTACAAGAGAAAATAATCTAAAGCTATCATAAGATTATGCTGCCAAATAATTTAGGAAACAGAAAGTCTTAAGGTACTGTTTCAAGGAATTAATTTTAAAAATATGCTATTCTTTTGCATCATGTGATATTTGTAATTTTTTAAATTATATTCTGTTGTGATTTCTTTACTCATTCTAAATAAATATGGTATTTCATATAGATTTAAATTCATAATTTTGTATTTTTTATCTTAAAGAAGGCTCCATTCATATTGTAAAACTTCAACACCTACAAACATGAATGTGTCTGATGTAGAATATCTTCCACGTATATAGAGATGTGGCTAAGTCTTTTCAAGAGTGAATTCTTGCTCAATCAACTTAGAGGCAACCAGAAATGCAGAAAAGGTAAACCCAAGGGGAAAGATGGCATCATGTTAGGTGTTCTGTTGGCTCTTTTTACTTTCCTTTTGGGCTCTTTGAACAATTTTACCTGAGGCTATATAGCAGAGCTCTGCAAGCTCAAAGAATGAATATCCTCCCTTGATTTGTCAGAGCTACCAGGGGCGCTCTTTGGGAGAAAGGAACAACATGAAGAAGAAACAAGTAAATACACGCACAAACTTGAATAGGCATCACAAGAATTCAAAAAGGGGTTGAAAGAGAAGCAGTAAAGAGAATCATTTGGGAATAAAGACACAGGAAATGTTTCTATTACTTAGAATAATGCTTCTATTAATCCCCCACCATCTTCATTTGCTGCAGCCCCACCATCTTCATTTCCTGTACTTTTTTTTTTTAACATCTTCAATAAAAAATTCATGCAGTAAATGTGTGTTACATGGGAACTACGTGCCAGGATCTGAGCTTGGGCTATCACATTAAGCAAAAATGAAGACCCTATATTCCAAAATTAATAAACTGAAATCCTCACCGCCACTGTGATGGTATTAGGGGATGGGGCCCTTTGGAGGTGATCACATAATGAAGGTGGAGCACACATGAAGAGATTAGTGCCCTTATAAAAGAGACCTAAACAGCATAAAGGAAGCTGGTCCTCATCATATCCCAAATCTGCCTGCACTTTGGTCTTGGACTTCCCAGTCTCCACAGCTATGAGAAATAAATGATTATTGTATAAAAAAAAAAAAAAAAGTAGGCCCTATACACACAGAACATATAGCAAGAGTGAGAGATAATTAAAATTATGCAAAAACCACACAGACAGGAATTGCAAGACTGATATGTACTACAAGTGTCAGAGGGGTGCCTGGGTGGCTCAGTTGGTTAAGTGTCCAACTTTGGCTCAGGTCATGATGTTAAAATTCTTGAGTTTGAGTCCTGCAACAGGATCTCTGCTGTCAGCACAGAGCCCCCTTCAGATCCTCTGTCCCCCTCTCCCTCGGCCCCTCCTCCACTCACACATGTGTGCATGCTCTCTTTCTTTCAAAAATAAACATTTTTTAAAAAGGGTGAGAGAGTTAAAAGATAGACAGGCAGATATGACCTAGCCAGATATGTCCAGACAGATCTCTCAGAGTGTATAATATTTAGCTATTTTTTAAAATATAAATTGAGGAAATAAAAGTTACGAATAAGCTACAGGATAAGAGGGAACGATGAATAATATTTCAGTCAGAAGAATATATGGGGCAAAGCCACAGAGCACGAGAGAAAGAAATCACAAGTCATATCTTAAAAAATGATTAATTTGTATATTAAGAAATGTAATTTTAGGGGTGCCTGGGTGGCGCAGTTGGTTAAGCGTCCGACTTCAGCCAGGTCACGATCTCGCGGTCCGTGAGTTCGAGCCCTGCGTCAGGCTCTGGGCTGATGGCTCAGAGCCTGGAGCCTGTTTCCGATTCTGTGTCTCCCTCTCTCTCTGCCCCTCCCCCGTTCATGCTCTGTCTCTCTCTGTCACAAAAATAAATAAACGTTGAAAAAAAAATTAAAAAAAAAAAGAAATGTAATTTTACAGAAAATATATTGTATCAGGTAGAAGAGTATCATCATCATCATCACCACCATCATTACTATTTTTACTACTATCATTGCTACGATGTCCACAACCACCAATTTGAGCCCTATGTACCAGACACTATGCTGGTTTTCTCATTTAATCCTTATACAAACCTATGTTCATTCATTTCATCATTCATTCATTCATCCATTCAATACCTATATTTATTAAATACCTAACCTATACCGGCCATTCTGACAGGAATGCAATTAATATTTGGTATTTGACAAAACAGATTAGACTCTACTTCAATGGAACCTTAATTTATAATTAATATTAGCTTGATACATGTTACCTGCTAATTATTTGTATTTCATTTGACTCCATGTCCTGAAATTACTCAATTATTATCTCATGGCTCATCTCTGGAGGGTGTCTCAAGCTCATCCGATGGGACAAATACATGTCAACTTCAGGAAGGTTGGAAGGAGAAAGAGAGAATTGCTCAGGAATAGATCTGACTGAGAGGGTGCTCCTGGACACAAGGATCTTTGAGGGTGAGTACAGACTCTCAGAGGTGCTCATAGGCACTGCCACATGAAAAAAATCCTGCGGGTGCCTGGGTCTCCATCCATGAGCTCGTGAACTGACACACTGTGCCCTGGCCAGGGGTGGGGTATTCAGGAGTAGGATCTGCTTTATCCCTTTCCTGCAGGCTTGCCACTGCAGAGACCAACAATAGATGAGCATGTACTACAGATCTTTAAACCTCCCAGACAGGACATACACGGTAATTGGACTGGGGGTAGGCAAAAGACTTTTCCCTGATGAGACACAATCTCTGGTCAATCACCTGCCAGACAGGGCATTGTGCTGCCAGCCTAGAGTAAGGTATCATGTCCTACTCCAAGATGTTATAGGGCAGTGTGACCAACTCTGACATGCTGTGTCCATGCCCATGCACCTGACAGGGAAGAGAATGAAAGTAGTCATGGGCAGGAGAGAGAAGGAGGCTCAGTAGGCCTAGGGAACAGGGGGCAGGGAGGCAGGTGGTCAAGAAACCATCCCACAGCATTGCTGTGACATGATACTCTGTGCGAGATAAAGTTCCAAGCCTGGGTACGTGCTCCATTGACCCATTGGATTTCACTTATAAAATACAAATTCAAAAGTAAAATTACTAGGAATTTCAAGTTGGCAAATGCAGAACACTAAATCCCAAGTACAGGATCCTTCTAAATGTGAGGCCTTGTACAACTGCATTGGTCACATGCCCATGAAGCCAGCCCTGACTGTGAGGCAGAGAGTAATTATGCACAGAGGTTAGCAAGTTTTTCCTGAGAAGGGGAGACCTGAGTGATGAGAAAGATCTAGACATGGAGTAGGAAGAGATAATTATTATTAAAACAGACTGTTTGTGTCCCCCAGTCCTCCAAATACATATGTTGAAACCTAATCCCCAAAATGATGGTGTTTGGGGGTGGGGAGCCTTGTGAGTGATTAAGTCATGACGGCACTGGAGGAGTGCTCTTACGAGATACCTCAGAGAGCTCCCTTACCTCTTCCATCACGCAGAAAGAACACAGTGAAAAGATGGCCATCTATAAACCAGGAAGTAGGCTCTCACATACCGTATCTGCTGGCATCTTGATCTTGGACTCCCCAACCTCCAGAACTGTGAGAAAAAAAATAATACTTGTTGTTTATAAGCCATTCACTATATGGTAGATATTTTTAGCAGCTCAAATGGACTAAGATACCTCTTCCCTTTTTTTAAGATTGAGTAGGTGAATTAGCCTGTGTGTGACAAAAATCCCCATTAGCCAGATTCCAAACTCTTTGTTTTTAACCAGTGCTGTATTTCTGCTTTTACTTGGGAAGGCTGTGTTTTTCCTATAGAAAGAAACCAAGGATAGTTTTTTATAAAACCAAGGGTAAGTTTGTCAAAAAGCTGCAGTTATACTTCATAGCTCAATGAAAATAAAAGAACAAAACAAAAACAAAAAATCTGAACACCAAAGAAACCATATGACTTACATATAAATTATGAAAGGATATCTGCAATCAACTTAATTAACATGCCCAAAGTTTTGTGCATGTGTTTGTGTACCGTGTATGGTGTGTGTGTGTGTGTGTGTGTGTGTGTGTGTTCACGCACGTGTGTGTGTGTGTGTGATGATATTTAACTTAAGATCTTTTTGGCAGATTTCAAGTACAAATCAAGTATAAAACACAGTATTCTTAACTATTGTTACTTCCTGTACATGTAGAATGTAATCTTGCTCAACTGAAATTTTGTACCCTTTGGCCAACGTCACCCCATTTCCCTCTCTCCCAGTCTCTAGGCACATCAATCTGTTTTCCCTTTCTATGAGATTGGTTTTTTAAAGATTCTAAAGGGGCACTTGGGTGGCTCTGTCCGTTGCGCGTCCAACTCTTGATTTCAGGTCAGGTCACGATCATATGGTTCATGAGATTGAGCCCCACATCAGGCTCTGTGCTGACAGTGCGTAGTCTTCTTAGGATTCTCTCTCTCACCCTCTCTCTCTACCCCTCCCTTGTAATAAACTTAAAAAAAAATAAAAATAAAGACTACATACAAGAGAAATCATACAGTGTTTGTCTTTCCCTGACTTAGTATTAATGCCCTGTAGCTCCATCCATGTTATCACATAGATGTGATATTCCTTTTCTTCTTAGGACAGAATAACATTCCCCTGTATATGTAATCTAATACTATATTTTCTTTACTCTTCTGGCAAGGGAAATTTAGGTTATTTCTATATCTTGGCTATTATGAGTAATACTTTGATGAATATGGGAGTGAAAATATCTCTTTATCATCTTGTTTTCAGTTCCTTTTGGATATGTGCCCAGAAGGGGGGTTACCAGATCACAGAGTAGTTCTATTTTTCATTTTTTCACTTTTTAAATTTACTTTGAGAGAGTGTACGTGCATAAGCGGGGGAGGGGCAGACAGAGATGGAGAATCCCAAGCAGGTTTTGCACTGTCAGCACAGAGCCCAAGGCAGGAGCCGATCCCAGGAACCATAAGATCTAGACCTGAGCCGAAATCAAGAGCCAGATGCTTAACCAACTGAGCCACCCAGGTGACCCTCTATATTTCATTTTTTGAGGAATCTCCACACTGTTTTCTGAAATAGCTCTACTAATTTGTATTCCCACCAGCAGAGTACAAGAATTCCCTCTTGCATACTTCCTGACCATCACTATTTCTCTTTGTCCTTTTAATAACAGTCATCCTTACACATGTGAAGTGCTATCTCATTGTGGCTTTGATTTGCATTTCCCGGATGATTAGAAATGCTGAGGGGTGCCTGGGTGGCTCAGTCGGTTGAGCGTCCGGTTTCGGCTCAGGTCATGATCTCACGGTTCATGAGTTCGGGCCCACATCAGGCTCTGTGCTGACAGCCCAGAGCCTGGAGCCTGCTTCTGATTCTGTGTCTCCCTCTCTCTCTCTCTGTCCCTCCCCCATAAGCACTCTGTCTCTCTCTGCCTCTCAAAAATAAAGAAAACTAAAAAAATAAATAAGTAAAAAAGTAATGTTGAACACTTTTTCATGTACGGTAGCCATTTGAACTTATTTTGAAAGTGTTTATTTAAGTACTTTGCCCATTTTTAATGAGATCATTTGTATTTTTGGTATTGAATTGTATGAGTTCTTTATATTTGGAGATTAACCCTTTATAGTTTACAAATATTTGTTCTCATTCCATTAGTTGCGCTTTCATTTGCTATTTTCTTTCTCTGAAGCAACTTTTTACTTTGATGTAATCCAACGTGTCTATTTTTGCTTTTGTTGCCTGTGCTTTTGGTATTATATCAAGAAATTATTGCCAAGACCAGTGTTAAGATTTTCTCTGGTTTTTTATTGTTGTTGTTGTTTTGTTGTTGTTGTTGCTGCTGCTGCTGCTGCTGTTGTTCTTGTTGTTGTTGTTGTTTCAGGAGTTTTATGGTTTCAGGTCTTACGCTTAATCCTTTAATCCATCTTGAAATGAATTTTGTGTGTGTGAGACCAGTACAATTTCAACTTTTTGCATATGGATATCTAGTTTACCTAACACCATTTATTGAAAAGACTATCCTTGGGGCACCTGGGTGGCTCAGTCGGTTAAGCATCTGACTTCAACTCAGGTCATGATATCGCGGTCCGTGAGTTCGAGCCCCGAGTTGGGCTCTGGGCTGATGGCTCGGAGCCTGGAACCTGCTTCCGATTCTGTGTCTCCCTCTCTCTCTGTCCCTCCCCCGTTCATGCTCTGTCTCTCTCTGTCTCAAAAATGAATAAACATTAAAAAAATTTTAAAAAAAAAGACTATCCTTTCTGCATTGTGTGTATTCCTCCTTGAGGATCAGTTGACTGTAAATGTATAGGTTTACTTGTGAATTCTCTTTTCTGTTCCATTGGTTTATTTATCTGCTTTTATACCAGTACCATATTGTTTTGATTACTGTAACTTTATAATACCATTAGAAGTCAGAAAGTGTAGTGCATCTAGCTTTGTTCTTCTTGATCAAGGTTGCTTTGCTATTTGAGGTCTTTTGTGTCTCCATGTGAATTTTAAGGTTGTTTTTTTCTATTTATGTGAAAACCTCAATAAAACTGTTTTTTAAAAAAATGGACATATAACTTTTTCTATTTATGTGAAAAATTCAGTAAGACTTTTTAAAAAAGAAAATACAACTTTCTGTAATAAACAACTACAACAAAACCCATATGCAAATAATGCTCTTTTACTTAAATATCGTCCTTGATTTCCAGTCACCAGAGCTTGAACAAAGACATTTCAAGTTTCTGATTCTTGTTTTAGCCTTAATTCCTTCCATTTCTCTTCTTATCCTAATACTCTAAAATTGGGGAGTTAACAATATTTATAGTTGTCTAAACCTACCATGCCATTCCACATAGGTTTTGAATCTTTGTACATGATGTTTCTCATCCATTCAATGGCCTATTCCCAGTCTTTACACCTAAAAATCAATAAGGATATATTCAAAAGTCAACTTACTTCTCTGGAAATACACTACTTACCTGTAAGAGATATTATGTTCTTCTTACTGTGTACTACCAAGGTATTTATTCTTGAGCTCACTGCCTCTATTGACTATTTGTTCATACCAGTCTTTCCCATGACACTAAAAATCCTTATGTGCATGAATCACATAAACTTCATGTTTATAGGGTTAACATTGTGCTTAATTCATAATAGGTATTCGTTTCATGCTAATTGATTTATGTTCTGCCCATAGGATATTTTACCTGTCACGTCCCTCTGCCTGAAGGGCCAGTAGCTCATGCAAAAAAAAGTTTTCCTAACCAACTCTATAAAAATGTTTCAGACAGGCCATATTTTTAACAGTTGAACAGAGGAACAAATAAGGAAATGTCTCTGTCTGTAGGCCATTCTGATGTTGAATTTTCTTGCCAGCAATGTTCCCAATTAATGTTCAAGAAAAACCATTTGTTTTAGACAATCATTCAATGATATGTTTTGTTTTGTAAAAGAACAGCATTTGACTGTATCAAGACAGAAACAGACAGACAGAAGACAATAAAAGAGTTTTCTTTTTACTGTCTATTTTCAAATATAAAATATACATCAAGGGTAGTTTTTGAGGTCTGTTTGTTTTTCTGTATAGTTATTATGCCCATTAGGCACACAGGAAAACAAACAGGATGCACAACTAAAATACTGCAGAAAAAGAAAAGCTCAAGAATCTAGCAAAAATACGGTGTTTAAACTAATATATCTTATTTTATCCACAACATATATACTCTTATTAATATAATATTTTATGAATATAAAAAATAAATATAAGTATATAAACGTGTGTGTGCTTCCATTGTGACAGGCACAATTAGTTTGTATACAGAAGCTCATTTATTCCTCACAACAATCTTGTAAGGTCAATGTTATTATTTCACAAAGGTAAGATTCAAGCTTAGAAAGAGATTAAAAGATTTAAATTTTGATATCCTTGATCTCAAAGCTGATGCTGTTGGTCTACTAAATACTAAAAACAAAATGATAATATTAAAAACAATAAAACAATCTTAAAGCACTGACTGAGCCCTCATCATACACTCATTCTTAGTGCTATAGACGCATGATACAATTAAATTCTCACCCCTACTCTATTAACCTGTTCTCCCCATTTGACAGAAGCCCAGAGAATATAGTAGGCACACGGACTACACTGTTTTCACATCATGGCACTGAAGTTATAAGAACTCTAGTTCCTAACAGCTATGTTTCAGAATCATTTATGTGTGTAACAGTCTATATGTAATATGTAATATCTGTACACTTAGAAATACCCAGGTAAATATCAATTAACAGTCAAATTTAAACTTTTTAGAGACAATGTGCTTGACAGATGTTATTACTATGTCAAAATAGCAGAAGTGCACATCAGTTTTACCACTGTCTGTGATAAACAAGCAAGAAATTAATGGAGTAAGGACTACTGAATCACACAACACTATTCATTCCTTTAACTAGATGGCTCAAGGCTTTAGTCTAACATTCCTGTTCGATTTCTATTTTTTGTTCTTTTCATTCTTATGTTAGTTTTCTTCTGGTTTGCCTGTCTTTTTCCTTCGCAACAGTCATCTTTCCTCATTATAAAAATATGACAGAGTCTACTACTGCTCTTTCTAATAAGTTCTATGCTTGGAAATCAGAAAATCAAACCTGTCCTCTTAACCTATGGAAAGGATATTTACTTGGATAGTTACTGTGCATCAATATATAGGAGACACAATGTTAAGCTAAAAGCCAGTGAAGAAGTCCCCCACCTTTATAAAATAAGAGTCTAATCTAGGAGGCAATTAAAGAGAGAAGTTGTACACAGGAATGATAGCTATGATAAGTAAAAATTATAAAGATGATATGAATGTATATGGTAGAGGAAACTGACCTAACTATGGGAATGTGTCGAAAGAAACAGTTATTATTAAAGTGACGATTATTCACACAGTCATACATAATGATCATAATTTTGAAGACCTATTTCCCAATACCTGGTCCAGAAAAGTGAGAAGAAAAGAATATATTACTACTTTTGTACCATCCTTCTCTGGTCTATTGTTCAGCATGACAGTGGCCCACCTTCATGTTCCATGACTATTCTCAGCCTTTATATAATTACATGTTAACAAAAAATATATTCCATAATTAAAGTTCTATAGTTTATGAGAGTTATGTTACACGTGAATGCTAGATAGATGGAGAATATACACTCAGGCTCACTTTTCTCCTCTCCACTTTCCTCTCTACTTTTTCTTGTTCTTCCCAGTGAAAATGAATGTATCACCATTAAAAGTGCAGGTTCTAGAGACAACACAGCTGGATAAACAGCTTGGCTCTATTCTGTAGAATTTGTGTGAACTTGGGTACATATTTAATTTCTCTATGCATGAGTTTGCTTATATACAAGGAAGGGATACAAGTTGTAACTTCCTTCTCAAGGTGTTGCTGGGATAAAATGAAAAGGCTCCTGGCACATAGTAACTGTTCTATACATATTAGCTGTCATCACTGACAGGATTTTAGCATACTCGCTGGATCCTGTTAGCTTTTACTGTGCATCCTGTAGGCCCAGCTAACCTCCTCTAATTCTTCTTTGGGTATTCTTGTTGCTTAGTTTCATTCTCAGATTTAGCACAGGCTTCTTGAGAATAGAACCATCATTTTATTTTTAGAACCACATGCATCCCCCAGAAACTTTAGACTTTGTGACAGACTCTGTCACTCAGTCTCTCATTTTCATTTATTTCCTCACTTTTTATGTCAGCTCATATGCTCTAGTGGTCAAGGAACTTAGTTCAGGTATGGCATTCTCCTCCTTGAATAGCTTTGGAAGACAAATACATGCGGTAGTATCAAAGGAATAGAAATCATGCCAGTGAGTTCTACATTCCCACAAATGGCCTGCTTTCACATGATACGGATTCAAAGTACTTGAGAACCACAAGTAAAAATCACTCTTTGGGTACAGAAAACTACAAATGAAAAGATTTAGTTTTGAAACATATGTACCTGGGAGGTTTGTGCATGTGCTTTGTTTTGGATTTTCTCATCTTGTAATCTGCATTGTTTGTGCTGACAATTCCTTCTGAAAGGGATCATGAGTGACTTCCAGCTGGAAGAAAGAGAAGAAAGCAAACAGCTTGTAGGCAAATGCACAAAAAAAATCTGGGCTTCTTCTAAAATGGCATGCACAAGCTTGTAACTATTTAAGTCTCAATATCTCTACGTGGAAGTTCATCCTGCTATAAACAAGAAAATAGAATTTTTTTAAAAAACACAAAAATCTTGACTTTGTTTATGGGAAACCATGTTCCCTGTTCTCTATTATAAAATCTCAGGGATAAAAGGGACGTGAAAAGAGTGTGAAGTCTAAACTCTTTTTAGACACTTGTGCGTTTTATATATACCACAATGATTTGAGACAAGCAAGGATGGTGAGAAGATGGAAGGGGGTAGAAGAAATAAAAAATCGGACTGAGTTAGAGAGGGGTAGTGGTTTGGATATTATCAGGTACCTGATGATTGGCTGATACATGGCTTCTGTCTTCGGGGAATGACCGGGAGTCCATTATCATCATTATATAATACAAATGAGGATCAGGACTTACTGAATGCCTACTGTGTGAGAAGCACTATGGTATGTGGTGCAGTCACAAAAGCTTCTTCAAGTCCCACAAAGATGCAATAAGACAGATACTAGCATTATTATTATTTTATACACAGGAATACTGAAGCATAAATTAAGTAACCTCACCAAGGTCAAGCACTCATCAGAGAGCTGTGATTAAAAGCCAGGCTGTCTTACTCCAGGCCCTTGTCCTTAATCATCATGCACCATCCTCTCCAAAGCATGTGAACTGCAGTACTTTGAACACTGATGTGCATACACTATACACAGACTCCCAGATTCCACAGGAATAAAATTCTCACCACCTGGTCCAGAAATGTAAGCATTTACCAGATTGCAAATAACTTCTTAAAAGGATGCTAGGAGCAATAACAATACCCTTCTACTTACATTTTGTCTTAAGTAATTTAGCTGTTGGTGTCCCTGGAGAAAAGACTATGCTTGCAATTGTAACCAATATACATTATTTATCAAGGTACATGATTTATAATCAGAAGTTCCTTAAATTATACAAAGTGTTATACCTGAACCAAGATACAATTTGCGTATAGAAGCTTCTTCAAATATAAAATCTCATTCAAAAACATATGAGAATTTTCCAAACAAATAAAACAACATTGTAAGTATTACACTGTGACTAATCACCTCTTTTATTCATATTTTGCACGCTTGCTAAAGATAGCTTTATCTTTGATAAACTTAAGATTTACAGGTGTAACAGATGAACAATTAGAAGATACTTCTGTAAGTGAGTAACAGAGTATGTACTTAGTAATGATTAAAAAGAAATAGTTACCAATATTTTTTTATCTTTCAGGTATCAGTGCCATATAAATTGCTTTAAACTATTACATTAATACGCTTTGGTAGCACGATGATGTCATCGGTACTCTGGGATTCCTGGGAAAGAAAGGTCTTTGTAAAAGACTAAAGTATAGAAGAGTTCATAGAAGGCTTTAGAAAAGATGCTGCTAGATCTGAAAGGTGAGGAGAATAAAACACAAGAATCAGAAAGGAGCTTCCGGGAGAAAAACATATGCAAAGAAGCTCAGAGGTGTGGGAGAATAAGGGGTGACCGGTGAACAGAAATTGTAGCTATAAACTTGGAGGTTGTATATGCCATCCTAGAGAGCATAAATGTTACACTGAAGATAATGAAGAGACAGTAATTTGGTGTCTGCATTTTGGAAAGATCTCCTCGGAAGATAAATCTACCAAGTACACAACTGATATGGAGGAACGAAATGATGCAACTCTGAGACAGAAAGTTATTGCTGTATCTCTATATATGTCTTTTTTCCTAGATTACATTTCTTTTGTAAATCAAGAAGCAGCACAGAATGAAGGCATCAGAGCCAAAGGTCTTCAAGGCCTAGTTTTAAATTACTATGGCTAGGGGCGCCTGGGTGGCTCAGTCAGTTGAGCATCTGACTTCAGCTCAGGTCATGATCTCGCAGACCATGGGTTCAAGCCCTGTGTAGGCCCTTGTGCTGACAGCTCGGAGCCTGGAGCCTGCTTTGGATTCAGTGTCTCCCTCTCTCTCTGCCCTTCCCCCGCTCATGCTCTGTCTTTCTCACTCTCAAAAAATGAATAAATGTTAAAAATAAATTAAAAAATAAAAAATACATTACTATGGCTAATACGTCGTTAAGAGACAGACACTGGTTTAATATATGACCTAGTATTTATTTACTTTAATTGAGACTACTTTATATACAGTAAAATGTTCACATCTTAAGCAGATGTTTTATATTTCTATGTATGCATTCAAGATGCCATTGGGAAAATGTGTATAGCATTCTGTTCATCAGAAGAAGTGATAGATATATGAATTAATTAAAATTACAGGGCGCCTGGGTGGCTCAGTCAGTTAAGCGTCTGACTTTGGCTCAGGTCATGATCTTGCAGTTTTGTGAGTTTGAGCCCCGTGTCAGGCTCTGTGCTGACAGCTCAGAGCCTGGAGCCTGCTTCAGATTCTGTGTCTCCCTCTCTCTCTCTCTGCCCCTCTCCTGTTCATGCTGTCTCTCTCTCTCTCTCTCTCTCTCTCTCTCTCTGTCTCTCTCTCGCTTGCAAAAATAAACATTAAAGAAAAAAATTTTAATTCAAAATTATTTTTTATGATCTATTTATCACGTCCCACATATAAGCTCATGGAAATCAGTTCTATGGAAAATAGAGAGTTTACTTATATGTGGTAGGGAAAGCTTGTCAAATAAAACTCAGTTGAAGCCACAAAGTGCTAAGTGTCATGAACAAGCATAAGGAAAGTTCCATGGTTGTTGAAAACAAACACACTGCATCATTTCCATTTTTGGAGGACAAAAATCCATTCTGGGAGCTATGGGTTTTTGAATTGCAACTTAAGTATTTAGCAGCATTTAAATCAACAGAATACCAAGAAGACTAAAATTTTCAGTCACAAAAACAATGACAGGGGCACCTGGGTGGCTCAGTGTGTTGAGCGTCCGACTTCAGCTCAGGCCATGATCTCACGGTCCGTGAGTTCAAGCCCTGCGTGGGGCTCTGTGCTGACAGCTCAGAGCCTGGAGCCTGCTTCAGTTTGTGTCTCCTTCTCTCTCTGCCCCTCCCCCCTCACGCTCTGTCTCTTTCTCTGTCAAAAATAAATAAACATTAAAAAAATTAAAAAGAAACTGATATATTTCAGTTCTCTATGCTTCAGAGAACTAAAACATTGATGTCAGGGCAAGCTTTTCCTCAAGGTCGCTGGTGATTAATGTAAGATACCTAATGGATAGGAGGAACCCTGTGTGAACACCATACAAAAAATACAGATATATTTTTGGAAATACACATAATCACCACAAATATTATAAAGATTTAATAATTAACTTAGAACTAAAATAATAATTATTAAACCAATGTATCTTTATATGCATTAACTATTTATGGTGTTTGTTTTGGAAATTCCAACCAAAAACATTGATTGCACAGCTAATCTGTGTTAATGTCTGACCTGCTTGTGTCAGAGGGATTAAAAAAAGACTTAAGTAAATTAGTCATATCCCACTTTTATATCCTTGAGCCTTGTCAAGGGAGCCTTAAAACCCTCTTATTTTAGTATGTGACAATAAATTCTTGGCATTTTTGGCTTCTGTAAGTGTAGGTTTAGAATCTCTATGGTCCCTTGATAGTTCAGTTTTCATATTACTACTACTAAATCTGATTTGGAGTACTCCATTAGTGAAGAAAATTTATTAATATGAAGGGAGAATACACATATGTTTAAATGAATAAATAATTTATATTTCCTTTAAAGGAGATAAAAATATCATTGAGTATTTTCATCTTTCACTTTTTTTATAAAGTAGGTAACTTTTGGCACAAACAGGTTTGAGCAGACTCCAGTATCTGAAATACTGTGAAAGATATTTTATAAACTATTCCAGTGCCAGATATTCTAATTAATAACCCTGAAATTCAATAAGCAAATCTCCATTTGGTATTGCAACTATGCAAATATTTCTAGAAATGTAAAATTTATTAGAGTATTGGCATCTGTTTTTCCATACCATCTTTGCTAGAATTACTAATAACTTCCATGTATTGATCTAGAAACTCCAGCTCCTGAGTTCAGTTGTATTAGATCAGAGATAATAGTGTAAGTTTAGCTTCATTGGTGAAATAGGACTTAATTTCAATCTTGTTCTCTTAGATTTGGTACTTGATGGCACTAATCACACCATCTGAGCTTAATCCTTGTAAGTAGACTTCTTCTTTCTCAGGTGTTCTGCCTAGCACTACACTTACATGAACTTGGACACCAGATTTTTATTGCTTTAATCTAAAAACCATAAACTGACCTTGAGGTATCCCTCCCTTGAGGACTATATTGTCTTTTCCATGCCCACTATATGTGAGAAAATGTCACCTGGATACCATCCCCATGGCCATCAGTCAGTTTTCACCTATTCCTTATGGATGTTGAATTATGAGCCTTGGTTATTCTCACCTCCTTGTGTCCATGGTTTATACCACATGATTTTACAACCCCTTTCACTAGAGGAAAAAATGTACTTTTCTGCAACTTTAATTCAGACTCAGTGTAATGGTTTAAAAGAGACACAAATCTTTGATATTCTAAGTGTCCATTGATAGATGAATGAATAAGGAAGATGTGGTGTATACACACACACACACACACAAATATTATGCAGCCATAAAAAAATGAGATCTTGCCATTTGTGACAACATGGAAGGACCTAGAGGGTATTATGCTAAGTGAAATAAGTAACACTGAGAAAGACAAAGACCATATAATTTCACTTATGTGGAAGCTAAAAAAAAATGAATAAACAAAGCAAAAAGCAGAATCAGACTTATACCTACACAGAACAAGCTGATGGTTGTCAGTGGGAAGCGAATTGGAGGAGGGAAAATCAGTGAAAGGAGTGGAAGATACAGGCTTCCAGTATGAAATCAGTAAGTCACGGAAATAAAAGGCACAACCCGGGGAATATAGTCAAT